TAATGTAAATGTAAACTCTTCATCATCGAGATAAGTATCATTATTATGTAAATTTAGTAATATGTGGAATCTGTTCAATGCACTGTACAACTGATATAGATAATATGGTCTTTATATCACTCAAACTGGAAAACTTGTTAATGAGTAAAATATAAAATGAGTAATGTATAACAGTATATAACAGACACTGGTAGTTCATCTTCAGGAATCTATAACAGTAGCTTAATGTTTAAAACGACAGAATGCAGACTTTTGACAAGTATCATTATTATGGAAATTAGTATTATGTCGATTCTGTTTTTCTTTTAATATTTCCCTCAGTGAAGAGGATGGGCCGATCCTGGAGGTACTGCAATACCAGGCCCACCCGTGGCCAGGACGGAGCAAGCTCCTACTCCATGGCCTAATTTTAAAAATCAGTTTAATATAGAAGCTACTCAATGAGCAGCATTTCAGATATTAAGCTGAAAAGAACAGATACTACACATGATCTTAGCCAAAAGGCCGAGAAGCGATGCCCTATAAATGCTTCTAATGATACTAATATAAAATAACAGTTTGCTAAACTACCGGTGTTGGAAATGCTCACTGGTAGTTCATCTTCAGGAATCTATAACAGAAGCTTAATGTTTAAAACGAAAGAACGCAGACTTTTGACAAGTATCATTATTATGGAAATTAGTATTATGTCGATTCTGTTTTTCTTTTAATATTTCCCTCAGTGAAGAGGATGGGCCGATCCTGGATGTACTGCAATACCAGGCCAACCCGTGGCCAGGACGGAGCAAGCTCCTACTCCATGGCCTAATTTCAAAAATCAGTTTAATATAGAAGCTACTCAATGAGCAGCGTTTCAGATATTAAGCTGAAAAGAACAGATACTACAGCATAAAGTTCCTGTCAAAGCTCACCACTATTTTCCCCCACATTTTCCTTGTTTAGTACTGTACCTGTCTCTTATACACATCTAGATGTGTATAAGAGACCAATATAATATTTGACTCTAACACATTTTAAATAAATATTTATATATTATATATAACTTAAAATATATGTTAATGTACAGAAAAAAACCTCAATTGTAGACAATGTATTTTTGTAAAACATTAACGAACTTTTGGCATACGCTAATTTAGTAATTTGCATATGAATAAATGGACACAATCAGTAACAAAAGCCTATAAATTCTAAAAGCAAACACAGACAGTTGTTATTCATTTTGTTGTAAACAGATTCCAGTGAAAGAGGATCAGTGGATTGTACACCTGGTATAGATAACCTGGTGTTTATATTACTCAAACTTCTAACTAGTTTACTTTTAAATTAATTAAGTAATGTATAATATAATAATGTATAGTTTGTGTTTAAAACGAG